ACAATTTGAAATCCCTTAAAATCCAATATATCTATTGCTCTTTAATTAGAGAAGTTCAAGAACAATGTTCTTTGAATTTAACACATTTTCATATTGTGGCGGATCGCACTTCTTGTCCAATCTGGTTAATCACTTTATTAAAGAGCCTGTATCAGTTAGTTCATTTCAAATTAACGATGACTACAAGTTGCTCGAAATATTTTGAATATGATTTTGTTCATGCGTTAAACAACATTGAGACGTTTGAACGTCTCTCTCGAGCACTTTCTAATACTTTAGAAACTTTTGAAGTTAATTTTCCTATCGAAGAAGATTGTTTAAGAGTCTTTTTGGATGAATCTAGATTCAAACTTCGGCATATTAGGTTTTATCATCATGATGAGAAACAATATAATCATTTGGATCCTTTTTTGAAACATCACGACGGATACTTGAGGATTTTCATCGATTACGCTAAAAGGAAAAATTCTCTTAAAGAACTAGGTTTCGCCAAACGATACATCTTCTCTAAACAATACATTGAAGAGGCGCAACGTTACTTTAATATAGTAATGCTCAACGGTTATGAAATCGATAACCCATTCTATGGTAAGTTTGTTGTAACTGATTATATAAATATCTGATATTTAAATTTATCACCTATTTCTTTAATTTAGATGTACCAATGAAAAATTCTCACTGGAGCAACAGAAATACGAACTTCCCAAGAATTTCGCGTTGGATGATGGCTTAATGTAATAGGATGGATGCCTTTTTTATTGTCCGACATCATCATCATTGAATTCTCGAATTCAAATCTTATTATTATGGATTTCTTTTGGATTTCTTTTCATATGTAGTATAACATATAAGTTTTTGTATATATGTACAGAATTTTTCGTCTATGATCAATGTAATATATTTGAATATCTTTTTTTTTTCTAAAGTATTTTTTATCATATAAATAAAGTTAAAATCTTATCCTTTAAATAGCTTTTTTAAAATGTAAAAAATAAAGAATTTATCTAAATGTTCTATGCGTTGCGCCGTACATTATCTGCACTCCGGTGGCATAAGATCACGATTAATAAAATTTAGTTTTATATTTAAACAACATAACCTTCGCGTTAAGCTCTATAGCATTTCTAAGAAATTTTAAGAAGTAGGCATCAGATCAGATGTAACCAATAAAGTTTCTAGAAAACATCAAAAATTCTTTGATAACATAAATATTCATGGAAAGTTAAACTTTGGACTCGACGATGTAATATTCTTTTATATAAATAATCCTTTATAATACATGGGTGTTCTAGGAATAATTCTTAGTTATTAAATATTTGCTGCGGCCCGCAGTAACTCCAAAATAAAAAATTTTTACAACCCGAAAAAAATTATCTAAAAAAAAATTTAACCCGAAAAACATCGCCTAAAAAATCATCTTAAAGAATATAAAAAAAAAACTAGTTAACAATAACAATAACAATAATAATCTTAACATCAGAATAATTAATATAATCAAAAATTAATAAAAATGTAAAAAAAGGGTAGATGGATGAAAACCTACCGATCACTGGAAAATTGTATCATATATTGCTGCAGCCCGGAGGCAATTTATATTATTTTAAGAGAACAAATATTATTATCGTATATCTTGGATGTTAGATAACTATTTGCATTATATTTACTAAGGTCAATTTTCTCTTCTTTCATTATTCGAGGTGGGATGGAATCATAAAATTTGTCTAGTATTGGGTTTTAACGAGTAGGGGCAAACCTCGTGAAATAATTTGGACGGCTTATGGTTTCGACGATTTGTGATTTGTGATTTCAAGTTTAACGAAATTCGCAAATTTAACAGGGTTTGGATTATATTAATAAACTTTGTGTAATAAATAAAGTGAAATTGTTTACTAATCATAACCTTTCTTTTTGTTTTATCAATTATGATTGAATAGTAATAGTCAGATAGCAAAATGGGACGGTTCGTGGAATAATTTTGTCAAAAGTGCTAGTGTTACCATAATTTTATCGTTTCTGATAGAAATGATAAAAAATAAATTTTATAATTGAAATTCATGTTACCCATTTTTACCTAAAATTCGGGGACATAATGAAAAATTCACACGAATTTTCTTTAAAATTACATTAAGACCTAAAATATACCTGGGATTTTTCCAAAAATGTATTAAAATTACCCCGGAAGGGAAGTATTGTATATATTTAGAGCAGTGATGGCAAATCACCAGGTCATTTGACTATTTCGAAATGAGGGAAATTGCAAATCTCACTTTAATATCAAAGGTTTTTGATTGGTTTTTCCTCCTGTCGAAGCTTTCGTGGCTTGGCCTTTAATAAAAAAACTTCAAAACTTGTTTCAAATTTGACTTCTCAGGCAACCTTACGTGAAAGGAAAGAAAATTAATAAATAAATACAATTTCTATTTTATATATTTTATATGCCTTGTATTATCTATTTTTGCTTTGTAGAGGACAAATGGATATTGAAATTATTTTTAAATGATTTAGTGTTTATAAGATAATTTGTCAATTTTTCTTTTATAAACATTAAAGTCAAATTAATAATAGAACACGGACTAATAAAAATTTTGTATTTGTTTAGAACGGAAAAAAATAGGTTTATAGAGAGAAGTTTATTTGTAAATAAAAGAAAATATAATACGCGACATTATACTATAAACCCATACGTCGCGTTGCTAAACGTCTAGTTTCTAGTGTAAGCTATCATTGGAGTTCTTACAAAAGAATGTTTCTTTCTTTCTAATTCTTCCTTTTCCTTCTGGCCTTAATTCGTTCTATGCCTAGCTTCTTATCGAAACGGTAGCCGAAGTGTCTTTGCCTTGTTCTTACACGTGAATTCAGTATTTTGAATTCGAATCCCTTTTAACGAGGTGGCAGGTTATCTAATAATAATCAAATATATGGGACCATTGCATAGAAAGGGGAAACTTTCCGAGAAAAATAAAAAATGAGTTTATGCCGAACTGAAAATCATATTTGGCATATAAAACAAATAAATTGATTTTCCCCTTTCTGTTGCTAAGGGCCTTTTACTATTAATCAATTTTTTCCTTGTAATTTATATGAATATTGATTTTATAATGAATTCTTTTTAATCGATATACTTTTACGCCTCTATATCTCTGAATGCTATAATTTTCTAAATAATTTTCTTGTGAAACATTTCAAATTAAAAAATTTTTTTTCGATTTTCAAAAAGCGAGATGTTATTTATTCATTTAAACTTTGGTAATAAATTTATTAAAGTTTTAAAAGACTTCTTTACATCCAAGCAGGAATTAAAAGTTGATTTTTTGCTTCTAGACGAATATGACTCAGTTATAATTAAATAACAACATCTTATCATACCAATTAGATAATTGAGCGATAATTCAAAGAAATATTTCTTATGACTTTGAAATGCTCTAACATACGTACTAGTAGAATAGATTGAGGTTTAGATATTTCCTTCAACCAAATGTATTCTATGACGATCTCAAACATCTCCAATTTTTGTGCATGATTATAAATCGATTCTATATAATTAATTGATCCATTCATTATATAAAAAATGAATCATTGGTAATTTAGATCCAGAAGAATTTTCAATAGTAAAGCTTTTTCACCATCTAAATTATTGATTTCATTAATGATGTCATATTATATATTGTTATACTGTACCTCGTATGAAATCTTTACGAAAAGGTTGAAGTAATGCTAAGGCATTATTGTCTAGAATTCTCCAATTACTATCAACTCGTTTCAATTACTTTTATTTCTATAAAACATAATTCTTCGTTTATATCTGAAAGAAGCTCATAATTTGAGAGGTTCTTAATTTTTTGATCTACTTTCCATTTAATTTCTTGAATCGTTGAATATCAAATCTTTAGGTTCATATATTATCTCGATTTGAAACTAAAGTTCTAATACTTTCTACAAACCCCGCCAAAAGTCTCCGAACGTCATCTTTCGGCTATTTAATACCGAATACATCATATGACTGTATAATACTGCGGTCATGTAATGTACCTGACCTTGTTTGCTTGAATCAAAACCAAATAAAAGCGTGTTTGGTTTGTTTATTTTGATTTTTAACCAAAATAAAATTTAC